GCCGCGCGCCACCCCACACCGGAATGGATAGGAATAGACTTGGCAGGCCCAAGAGAAGGGAGGGGGAGTGAGCGGGGGGGGGGGGGGGGGACAAATGGGAAGGAAGCGAACCGTCGGACGGACAGTGGCGTGAGGAGAGCAGATCGGCGAGGGACCATGTCAGCCAAAAGCACCGCACGGGAGGAAAAACTCACCCCACAAGCACCAAGCACGTGTTAGCTCCTCACTGGCAAAAGCGGGCGATGGCACACTCACAGACTGCGCATGCAAGTACCCACGAGTTCGAAAGTTTCCCAAAAAGACACGCTTGTCCAAATGGCAGCACGCCTTCATGTGGCATTTTTCGCGAAGCGAACGCAGCACCCAAATCCAAATCCCAGCCCCCCGACGACACCCTGAACGGCTTGCATTGGGGACACAGTAGAGGGCCCTCAGCAGTGCCGGTATGGACCTGACCAGTTCACCGGTACTAATCAGAACAGGGATATAAGGTTTTGGTGCAGGAGTGGACACTCGTGCCCACCGGATTGGCCGGCACTATGCCGGGCTAGCAACTTTTCAACCGGCACTACTGAGGGCCCTCTACTGTAGTGCTCGCGCTGTTTGAGTTTGAACACAACCTTGATGTGAGCAACAGCACACGTCACATCCATCGTGACTATTTACTGCACTCCATGTTAAGTTCTGCCCCTGAAACTGTCGCCAACGGAACTCTTCATAAACGCACCACTCTGTCTCGGTCCGCTTCCCCATGTACACGTAGACTCCGGGCCTGAACAGGGCGCCTTCGTTGATCTCCTCCCTCTCTATCCGTCGGTCCCTGAGAGAGATGAAAATCGTAACAACAACGCAAAAAACCATGTGAAACGCTATCGCAGGCAGGGTACTCCACGAGCTCGGATAGGGGGATACTCATGACCGTGCGCTCGTGAATCACGATAGATCCTTGCATCAAAAGACATCGAACGCGAGAGGGAATAATCGGCATGGCACGTGACCGACTCACTACAGTCAAGGATACCACTGATGACAATTCACAGGTCACCACCCCCGGGGGCTGCTTTTATGTCCATCAACGCCATGTGAAACACTTCGATCATCACCGGTGCTGTATGAATGCCCTAGGTGCGCGTGTGCGCGCCCTAACGTTTGACCACAGTATTCGCAAACCGCCACCCTACTGACCCGAGCCTAGAGAGGAGCTACAACATTCGCTCACTGCTGCGTCATTGGCAGAAGCGTGAGATCCTCTGTAGACTCGAATTGAGGCAGAGAGTATTTCGACTAGACAGCGACGCGAAAAACATACCTACATGTAGCCACCAAAACCGTGTGAGCGGCCTTCAGCTACACATCGCTGAAACCCTCCCTACAGCAATCACAGGCCATGCACTTTGGGCGCGCTTGGAAAGCGGTGCGTGAGGGCATAAAATGCAGTGCTCTCATGCTACTGCTGTGGTGCGCAATCAGTCACGAGTCCAGAGATGTTGTGGCTTGAAGAAGGGCAACCAAGAGCGCCAATCCGCGGTAGTTCAGGCATCTGGTACGATGTGAGCTAACTTCTCGTGACCCGTGTGTGCTTACACAGGCCGACTGGAGAAAAAAATGAGCACTTTGCAGTTCTCCGTGTGTCTATATGTTGGCGCACAAGAGCGTCAATCACTATGCGCACTGTTGCCTCAGCGGTATTGCTGATCAACGCCTGTCATTCCGCCACGGAACTATGCTTCTTCTCGTGGAACCTTTCCTAAATTGTGTGTTCGATGCGCTGCCTACACAGCTGCCGATACTGAGGCTTTCACTGCTGTCCCTGCCCGAACGTTTCGACCTCCGTAGGAGGGCATACCGTCATACCGGCGAGGCGTGCCATGAGCGGAGGTAACTACAGCGCCGCCACCCACGCACCTCTGCTGGTAGAGCTTGAGCCTGTGCTCCATGTACTGCTGCTCCTGTTTCTTCTCCACTTCGGTCTTGAGCCACTTCATGTTCTCGAAAAGGTCGTACTTGCCGAACTTAACCGGGTACTCGCATTCACGGTCGAGACCCTCCTGCAACACAAGAGAAATACACACACAAGAAACGCGCAACGAAGAAGCGCGTGGGTGGGAGGGAGGTCGAGAAGGGCCGCGCGCGCGTTAGAGAACACTTGGGCGCCGTACTTTGGCCGGAGTCGATGAGGTGTATCCAATCGCGGTCGGCGCCTGCCCTTCAGCGAAACCAATAGTATGCACCATAAAATCATACGGCACAGCCTGGACCTCGAATACTACAGCGTTGCGTCAGTATTGCGGAGACACTTCAACCACTCGACATCAAAATTAACAGCAAGACGTCGTAAGACAAAGTACAAGTACACGATCCGTCTCGTAACTTCCTTGGTCCGACCGACAGCTTCGTCGCACGACCCTCTGACAGACAGGAGGCCTTACACACCAGGCTGTGTGCTTGGCGACAACATGCACATCCACATCGCATGTGCGACGGCCCAGGCCCGACGTGTTCGACATCGAGCTTGCTCTCCACAAACCTTTGCCATCATGTCCCGCATGGGGTCAATCCTGTTAGCCCTCACGAGGCCGATCCCACTCAAGTCGATCTCGTTGAATCTGCCGTCACACGAACCATGGGCGCCGGGGAAGAGTGACGAGGGTTTCCGCCCAAACGGAGCGGGTTAGAAGGCGAGGGGGGGGAGGTGTGCTCAGCGCTTTGTAATGCCCTCGAGTAAAAAAACATTCGTAATGCCCTCGCATCTGCATCATGATTCGGGAACGTGGCGCGGAGGCGCTTTGCCAAACAGGCAGCGCCGCACCCAGCGCAAACCGTTCCGCTGGACCTCTCGATCCCCCCCCCCATAAAACGAAACCGAATCCCGCCGACGGCTGTCCAAGAACCGCCTTCGGATTAAGTGTCAAATGTTACCGGAAACTTTGCGCACCACGGCGCCACCAGGGAACACCGCAGACATCAATCACTCCACACACCTGGCAACGAACACGCTGTCGTACAAGCCCGCCTGGTTGAAAGGGTCCCCCTCCGCCGTCTCCCTCGCCTCCTCGTCGTTGATGGCGTTGAAGAACATGAGGGAGCCGACCGGTTTATTCCTGGGGCTGTCCTCCGCCAAGTCGGAGCTTAGAACAGGCCCCTCGCCGATGCATCGTCTACATCAGCAGCGGCGGCGGCAGCGGTGTACGTTGGGAGATGTTCAGAGAAAGGAATCGAAGCATCGCTTTCAGGTCAAACAACAACAACAACAACAACAACAACAACGAAGGCGCAATGGAGTTTGGGTTCGTTGTGATATACGCCGGGCCGAAACTGGGACATCTGCCGGAGGACCGACCTTGGTTGAGGTATACTCCCGCATCTCTAGGACAAACACTGAGAATTTTGGATCACGACAGACACAGGACCGTAGAGCCGTGTGTGGAGCGCGACGCCCTTCTTGCCCCCCCTACCGCACAAACGTCATGTGTGCCACGCAGCATACCAAATCTCCGGCACGGTGTTTGTAGCTCGGTTTCTCCACATCTGTGACAAGACCCGACCGGCACGTCTTGGTTCCGGGTATACCTTTCGAGTATAATTCTTTTGGGCATTACGCTCTCCTTGCTACATGAACAATCCAGCCTCTCGAAGTTAGTTGCGCCTTTCTGTGGAGGTCAGGATATGGAGATTCCAAGAAGCACACATATACGTAGAGAGAAGGACCTGAGGGATCTGTGATAATAGATCACTGTTCTGATTCCCAACAGCTGCGAATGGTTGATGAATCTTTGGGAGGCTGGCAAAATGAGTCCACGAAGGCTCGCCCACTCCCCGCACCACCCTAGCTTGACTGAGTTCGCCCGGTCACGCTTGGCATTCCTCGCCACATCGCACCAAAGGAAATAGCCAGCATCCAGTGGCAAGTCATAGCCACCACCCTCCGGACTCTACGCTCACCCAAAGCTGAGGGCTCCCTGAGTCCTACTGGAGAACTGGGCAAATGTACTCTCAGAGAGGCTTTCCATTACAACTAGGCACGACTCCGGTCAACAGAGCTCAATATCGTGAAAATCCACGAAAGCAAGGAGGCCATTGACCAGTGTGTCGGTGAAAAGGAAGAAGCCAGGACAACCCCATGGGGGTCTGCAGTAACGTTGGTAACAAAAGCTGACGGCACTCCCCTAATCTGCGTAGACTACAGAGCAACGGTAACCAAAAAAATTAGGTCGTAAATCGTGGCCGATGCCTGAAATGGCAATTCCTATTGGCACAGTGTGTCTGCGACGTACAGAGTGCAAACTACCAAACAAAATGCCAATTTGCTGAACTTGCATCCCATAAAGTCGCATTCCTTCTTTTGGTACTGCCATACGCTTTGGTGCCTCCTGCAAAAGAGACCCTCGACTTCGTGCGAGTGGTCGAGCCACGTGACTTGGGGTTGTTCGGGGTCACGTTTATCGGCCGTCCGCTGGCTACGACCGCGCTGTCCGCCATACGCCCTACCACTTGAGACGAATGCGTCCTGCCCGGAAACGAAGTTTTCTCGGGCGGCGAATCGCCGCCCTAGAAAATTTCATTTCTGGGCAGGTTGCATTCGTCTCGAGTGGTAGCACGTATGGCGGACAGCGCGGTCGTAGCCAGCGGACGGCCGATAAACGTGACCCCGAACAACCCCAAGTCACGAGGCCCCACCACTCGCACAAGATCAAAGGTCTCCTGTGCAGGAGGCACCAAAGCGGAACATAGCACGAAGAAGAAAATAATGCGACTTCATAGGTTGCAAATTCAGCACCGTTCGCTTTACGCGTGTGCGTGCGGATTGCCGGAACGAAGCGAAATGCGAAGCAAGAGGGGTAGAAAGCTACCCAAACTTGGGGTCGCCCGAGTATTGCAGGCAGCATCCTTCGGCCAACGAGGGTCACCAATCATTTGGCAAAAAAAGCAAAACAACACCTGGGCGAAGAAACAAAACGTAGCTGTCAAAACCAGTAGGTCCCAAAGTGGGATAGACCGCAAAGCGAGAGCAAGCACAAGAGAGTCACAGGACATGAGAGGGATTCAAAACACTGTAAAAATAGTGCACGATCTCTGGTGGAAGTGAAACAAGCAGACGAGAGTTCAGTAAAGAGACAGTTGAAGTACATGTACCACGAGAACATTCTCACGAAGGATGTATTGTAGCAGCAAGCCGACACGAGGAGTTCCGAAGTCGAGTGCCAGCACAACTGATCCAGTAGCCTCTGTACATACAGCACTAGAATAGGGGATAGCACACAAGTGTGGCAAGTAGAGGCCTTTTTGGCGCCGCAAGACTCGCACATAGCTACCGTAGCTGGTCAAAAGATAGGTCAAACCTAACAAGAACTGATCACATGAAGGATTTCATGCTTTTTCAATGTCTGGGCTCACTGGATATCCCGTGTGTCCATCAGTATTTGCGATCGACTATCCAAGCCAGTACGCGCACCCGCCAGAAGAAACAATGAATCGGTTGACGACATTATTATTAAGTTCATGAGATGTCACAAAACGTCAAAAAAACACACAGTTTTTCGACAATTACACCCCTCCCTCACTATCCGAAGACAACCTGCGGTGCCGTGTGGAGTACGTACACACATGATAGGATAAACACCGTACGGGTCTAATCTCTCAAAGGCTCGTACACGCTACACTAGGTATTGATGTGAATCATGTGCCAAAGTTTATTCTTGTTGTGCATCAAGAAAGGACTTGAACTTTGTGTGGGTTCTGGTTCGCGGAACCATACCGTTGGGTGTAAGCAATCGTTGTGCTTTTGAGTACGATAGGCATACGGTGTTCGACAGTCTAAAGACTGTTTCCTTGGCTCATGAGTAGTGTCATCGAGTTGCGCCCCAAAATCCACTAGAGACCGGTTAACTTGACATTTCCTCGCCAGCATTTGACCCAACCAAGATTGTTGGGTGCTATACCTTTCACCATATAGACACTTTGGAAACGTATCTTTTATTTGCCTTCGGACTTCTTGTACATTTCCACCGAGTACTTTTCTTGTTGACGAAATTTGTTGGTTTGTTACATGGCTTGTTGGGCCTTGCCTTGTGCTTTGCGCGTTTGTACTCGGGATCCCTACCTTCGCCTCGTTTGCGTTCAGATGTTTTCTGCGGCGCTTCGGACGATTTACTGGCGGGCGCGATGTCCAGATCATGTTTTCATCGGTAAGCGGAAATCGTTTCATCACACTTTGGCACTTCATCTGCATGATACATCAGATCTGATTCAGGACCGTATCCTTTCAGTCCTAGTTGCTATATCCTTTAAGCCACCACACTCCGGACTCTCCGCTCACCAAGAGGACTCCATATTACCAGTAAGCATCATCCTTGGGCATTAGACGCTATGATCAAACCCAGAATTCGAAATCAGCCCAAACGGGGGCGTGGTATCTTGTGTGGCACGCGGCAGAACCTCGGCTTTCGCGGCCAATGAAAACGTTTCGCGGGTGCACCTGGTCCTCTCGTAGTACTCGAGGTGCGCGTCGTTGTTCTTCTCCCTGAGCTTGGCGCTCCCCTTCTTGTCCATGCAGAGCGCCAGGTAGGGAAAGTTGGACAAGTGCCAGTTGAACCCGCCGCCCATGTTGTACGGGTAGCGGTACAGCGAAACCGTCCCGAATAGCCCGCTCTTTCGGTACGGGTCCTCCTCCAACAGGCGCAATGCCCCTTCCTGTTCGTATTGTGCGGAGGTGGGGTTACGGGGGAGGGGGGGGGGGGGCGTACTTTTCATGTTTTGCACGCCTTAGTTGTTCAGACCATTGACCACGCGAGACCATTGACTACGCGTCCTCGAGAGGACGGAGCGTTGTGTCCACAGGACCGATCACCCGATCGCTCCTTCCTACTTTGCCAAAGGTGGCTCTAAAACGTTTTCCCTATCCTATCGATACCACTTCCCGCCTTGCAGCCCACCCCAGAGTAGGTACCGTTTTGTTTGCTTCCAGCAGAACGAGGGACGACGGGGGGATATCTGAAAGTCCAGGCTCTCTCTCTACGAACCAAACACACGGTTCTATCTTTCGGAGTGTCGTCTGTGATCCCAGCGTGCAAGCGATACAATTCGCTTCGGTTGATGCGAGGAACAACGTTCGGCGTTTCGTGTTCTTAAGGCTACCGGTCTCCAGCCAGGTGAGTGCATGGGTAGATGTCTTGGTGAGTGACCTTTCGAACCCCTACAACGGTTATCCTTCGCGTGAAACGGTTTACTTGCAATGTGATGGGTGAAAAAAACTGATCAATATATTTTAGAAAAGCTTGGTTTCGAGGAAATCAAACAAACGGAATACAAGAAAAAAAACACTCTTAGAGATAAGCATCACAACACCAATAGCAGATGTGCTATCTTCGCGCAAAAAGTAGGGGCGGTCAAGAAACACGTGTCTTAGACAAGACAGCGGCTCTCGAACAGCACGCCACTCACAGTCGAACAAACCGCGTTTCCTAAAACAGAGTGGCGCCTTCACCATGATCACAGCGGCAAGGGAAATTTCCCCATCGTCGCCGACGTAGGCAAACTCACGCAACAGCTTCATCGCTTCCGATTTTAACAAAAGAGGCAAAAATAACCGAAGTGGATGACGCTTGCCTTGGTGTAGGACCGGATGCAGAACATGTTCCCGATTACCCGACACTTGGACGGAGACAGCACGCTACGGTTCCACAAGATGCCAGCCTCCCGGTCCGGATCGTCCTCGAACGTGCGCTTCGCTATCCTGCTCGGAGGGGGGTGTTCCCGGCACATGCATGCGTGAAGAGAACAGCATATGGAGATGGAAAGACACGCCGGGAGCGAAAAGAACGTAGGGGTCCACGGCAGGGGGGGGTGATCAGAGAGGTACAGCAGTGGAGTAGGACGCGTAAGGGGGGGGGGGAGGGGGGGGGGAGCCCGGTTCCGCACAAAACACTGGCCACAATCGGCATCGCCCCAAGGGCTGGACTCCTCTACCGACGAATCTATCCACGTAGAAGCGGAAACGTCGGTCACCCGTAACCACTGGTCACAACCTCCATCCATTTCTTGACGAACGATACATCCGCCTTGCTGTGAAAAACGCTATGGGAGCAAGAGG